CCCCCCCCCCCCCCCCCCCCCACCCGAAAAAAAATCAACTGTTAAATTCTAATTTGACCTATTGGTGGCCTTATCAAGTGTTGGGCTTTCCCTCCACCATGGAGTGATAAATCCAATTAGATTACACTAGAAAGATTTATGGAATACATCATTAGAGTTTGGTTCCAATTGTGTGATTTATCTGCTATTAAATCTTTTATTTCAGTCATCAATCACATCGGTTCCCTCTGTTACTGGTTCAAACATGAATGCTGGTAAAGTCATGCCAGGTAGAACACAGTCAAGTCCAGCAATCGTTCAGCCCAGTGGAGACAAAAACGGTGAGCCTGGGATGTTCCATATGCAAGATCGCAAGACATCACCCGGAGAAAGAAGAAGAATCTTAATCAGAAAATTAGCATTACGGGACTTTACTTTTTTAAGAGTTCTTGGTAAAGGCAGTTTTGGAAAGGTTGGTTTCTTTTATTTTTTATTCAGTTAACTGTGTGGTATAATATGATATTTATATGTATATATAAGTGTGATCCAAATAATCATGGTTTAATAGTTGGAGTGGTTTGATATAACTGCATGGCTGATCTGGCCTAAGGATAGGATGCAGAAACATTCAAATCTTGATAAAAGCCTAAGATACTAAAGACTGGTCTTCAGAATAATAATATATTCTTATGATTTTCATAACATGAAAATAATTATATTTTTTGCTCCTTTAAAGTGCCTATAACCTTTATAGGATTATGATCAATTTTGATTTTCTGTGTGTTGGAGATGAATAAACAAAAAAAATTTTTCGATTGACTAAATATCCTTGGAGATATAACGCCCTAAAGTGCACAGTTTTGCCACGCCCCATCGATTTGGACGGGATCGCAAGGTCTGGTACCTAGTTGGTGTCGAATGACGTCACAACAAGAACGACTCGGCTTCCAAGCAAGTATATACCTTTTGTAAAATCTGGGGTGTTTGAGCAYCCAGCAACAACACATCTAGTTGGCATTTTCTCATATTCTGACCGAAGAACTAGTAAGAATCTTTGCTTATCAAAACATTCGTTCTTGTTGTGACGTCACCACTCAGCGAGACTCTGCTCGGTCCCAGTTTCCCTTTATCCCGCCCAAATCGATGGGGTGTGGCAAAACTGTACTTTTGGGGCGTTATATCTCCAAGGATATTTAGTCAATCGAAAAATTTTTTTTGTTTATTCATCTCCACCACACAGAAAATCAAAATTGATCATAATCCTATAAAGGTTATAGGCACTTTAAGTGTTGTTTAAATTTGTTTTGGATTCATTATTTTACAAATTCATCTCAAAATTCTTTTTTTCTTGAGGCAGCCCATCTAGATGTATAAACAAAATATTTCCATGCAATTATTGCCCATTGTTTCTTTTGTCTATTGCATGACTTTTAAGAAGAATTAATTTTTGAACCAACTAAATGTTTTTAAATATAACTTGTTCACAGGTCTTACTAGCCGAGAGAAAAGGAAGTTCAGAAGTGTATGCTATCAAAATTTTGAAGAAAGAATCAGTTTTACAAGATGATGATATAGAATGTACAATGATAGAAAGAAGGATTCTGGCGCTATCGGCTGGACATCCATTCCTCACGTCATTACACTCGTCGTTCCAGACAGAGGTACAGCAGTGTACAGGAAGTGCAAGTACAGGACTGTGTGAACTTGTATTTCTTGGAGGAGGGGCCACCAGGGTGGGTTGGGGGGGGGGTCCAGGGGTGGTGAAAGGGCTGACTAGTCCCCTCCCTCATTTTGCCCAAATTTCTCAGTATATCGTTAGTAACAGTCACCCCCTTTTTTCTCGAATTCCTGGTAAACCTTTGTAATAGTGACCCCCCTTCTAAAATTCCTGGGTCCCTCCCTGGCCAATCACATTAACCTCAGCAGCTAAGCTTATGTTTGTGATATTGTTTGTAGGCTAGACTGTTCTTTGTCATGGAATATGTGAATGGTGGTGATTTAATGTTCCAAATACAAAAAGCAAGGAAATTCGATGAGAACAGATCGAGGTAAGATAAGCCCATTTTTGTTGTGAAATGTGATCATCCAGGTGAGTGTAGTCTTGAGAAAGACTGTTGTTGGTGGTGACTGACATTTCGACAACCTGTTGAACAAGCCATCTTCAGAGTCCAGTGATTTGGTCGTAATGTAAACAGTAATTTATTTTTCTGTCAGTACCAATTCATGGTGCCTTGTTATGGATGCAATACTTTTACCTTAGTTTTATAATAAGAACAAGTGACTTGAAAGCTTTAAAAATTTTTTTCAATATATATCCTGATATATATATATATCCTGAAACAACCAATAATGAAACAACCTTGAATTGGAATTTAGTGCGTTAGGGTTTTGAGGAAGAGGAAAACCAGAAAACCTGGAAAAAAACCTTGAATAAGGGAGAGACCTATAAAAAAACCTACTTACATATAAGGCGAGTGCAAGCTACCACCGCACTACCCTTGATTAGACTTATTTTTAAATTCTTCAATTCACCTACGTGTATTTCCTCTATCATTTCAAGATAACATAAGACAGCTAAAACTTTACAACTTGGTAAAATGCTCCGCAGCAACCTCTTTTATTTGATAAAAATGGAAAATTGACATTTAATAAACAACTCATTTTTCTTTATTGCATGTATACCTGTACATTCATTCCTAGAAACTAACCCTCTTCTGTAGAAGGAAATTTGAGGTTTTAGTTACAATGAGAAAGGCAGTGAATGCACAAACTTAAATTAGTTTATGTTTACCATCTACAGGTTTTATGCAGCGGAAGTAGTTCTTGCATTACAGTTTCTCCACCAACATGGAGTCATTTACAGGTACTTATTTGTGCAAATGTGTGCAATTTCTTATAAAGTTTATATGGATGTATGGTATGCACTCTATTTTTGGTTGTTATTACCATTATTAATTTTTTGTATCTTGCTGTTTTATTTCAGGGATTTAAAACTAGATAATGTGTTACTAGATGCCGAAGGTCATGTTAAACTGGCTGACTTTGGAATGTGTAAAGAAAACATGGCTCCAGGCAAGACAACAACGACATTCTGTGGTACACCAGATTATATTGCACCGGAGGTGAGAAACATGATGTAGGTTAGGACTTATCACTGTTAACAGTGCTACTGTATGTTCTGGTCGAGACAACAGTAGCAACAGGGAATTAGGCAATGGACCCAGTGGCGGATCCAGGGGGGTCGAAGGGGTCCACGGAACCCCCCTTGAAGGTTTGATCTTTTAGGTAATAGAAATGTTGCTTAAAAGTATCCACAAAGATAATGTTGAACACGAAATAATAGATATTTGCTATTATAATGTTTAATTTACCTTTAAGTTCCGTTACTAGATAGTAAATTAGGTGATTAGAGCCAATTTTTTTGTCAAACATCGACTAAACAAAAGAGAATTATACACAGTTTAAGAAACGGAACCCTGGACTTTGAAAAAGTGGATCCGCCACTGGGACCAAATCCTAAACTAAACAATTTCTTTATTTTCTTATAACGCAGATATTACAAGAGCTGCCGTACGGTTTCTCGGTTGATTGGTGGGCCTTGGGTGTTCTTATGTATGAAATGATGGCTGGACAGGTAAAGGAAGTGATTTGGAAATATTTTGAGGGTTAAACATACGGTCAGTGTACTTCTTGATCTCAGACGTAATGCTCTTCTGTGCCATATCTTTGTGTACTGTTAAGCAAGGCTTGACAGGATGCATTAGTATGAATACAATCAAGTTTTTTTTCTGTTCTCGAGGGATATTGTCTTAAATTGGAAAGCATTTCGCCCAAAAATGAATTTGTTTTTTAAAATTTCGATTCCTTTTAATGTCAACGTAAAAGAATGTGAAAACCATAGGATTTTTGATAACGTGAAATAAACGTCCAGTGAATTTCTTCAAAGAGGACACTTAAGCTACGGACGCACGGTTCAACATTGCGCGCAATGTTGCATGGAATTGATGTTGCGAGCCATGACACACGACGCAATTTGTTGCACGCAACGTTGCTGGAGTAGAAAACTATCCTACTTCAGCAACACTGCCTGCAATGTTGCGCGCAATGTTGCACCGTGTGTCCGCGCCTTAAAGTAGCTTTAAAGTTGATAAAGTGAGGGCATGACTAACTGACAGAATTTAGCGTGTTAAGTTTTGCGGAGTGAGAAAAAGTGGTAAACCATCTTGTTGGTCAGTCGTGGTAAATTTTACTTTATGGTTTTTTTACCAGCCTCCTTTCGAAGCAGAGAACGAAGAAGACTTATTTGAATCGATTTTAAAAGATGATGTGTTATATCCGGTATGGTTGACTAGAGAAGCTGTTTCAGTTCTAAAAGGGGTAAGTACGAGATACTTCAACCCTAAGTTTTGCAAATAATATTTGTCAAGCTTTCGACCTAAGCGGTCATGGACCTTATCACACGGCGGCCATGGTTATCCTCATGAGAATATAAACCTTTGTTGAACCGTATGAATATATCGTCAAGCACTTGAATGCGAGGCCTTGCATTGTGGAATCTATTGTTCAAACCAACATGGCTGCCGCGTGAAAAGGTCCATTTGTAGGACTACTTAAATATTGATCGTTGGAAAAACAAGCAAACAGAATGGAGTGCGTGCGCGAGACTTTGTTGTAGTGTTCTAGCTTACTTACAATGTGAACTAATTTAGAACGCCCATCCATACCCTAATAAGAGCTCGTAGTCATCATCATGCATCGTCATCAACATCAAACGGGAACTATAAGGTCTATAAAATCATTTCATTCATCATGATTGCCATCATCTTCATCACCATTGCTTTAGCATCTTCGCATTTCTTTACTTGCTTCTTACTCAGTCCGACGAATTAGAAGAATTAAAGATTAACGTTTGAAACTTCGATACAGTGGTCAAGTTTCTTTCTTATTGACTTGTTTCTTTTCAACTTCAGTTCATGACGAAAAGTTTCCACAAGCGACTCGGCTGTGGCACGATGGGTGAACAGAGCATTAGAGAACATCAGTTCTTCCGACCAATTAACTGGGAGAAACTCGCAGCACGGCAGGTGGCGCCTCCGTTTAAACCTAAGATCGTAAGTATTCTAAAGAAACATCCTAGTCGCTTCTTATTTACTTTGATGCTATACACCAAATCGAAATATGGCAACCGATTTGAATAACTATCGTTCTGCACTGACTAGCGAATGACTAAAGCCTCATACGTACCAATACGCTTTTATGTTTCAACGTGAACACAAGGCTAGTCAGTCCAGAACAATAGTTATTCAGATCGTCGCAGTAATTCGTTTCGGTGTATGCATTATGCAAGGCACTGAGTTGGAAAAAAAAAACCTCGATCCAATAAAAAGACACGGGATTTTCTCCTGGCCACAGCCATTTTTCACCCTCACAAACACAGACAAACTCCGTATAATTTCACATAAGAAATTTAATAAAACGTGCAGACATTATTATTGTAAAGTTTTCGTTGCGGACTGTTTAAAGTGTTAAAAGTCTTTTAAAAACTCTTTTAAAAAACGCACAGACTAATTTTCAAATCTTGTTTATGCCGCACTGAAAACATTACGAGTTCAACTCGTTTCTCTAAATGCTTTCTAATTTTAAATATTTTGGGCGATTCTTGGAGTTCTTGCATGTCCTTGATTAAAATCCTACATTTGAAATCACGAAGTGATGGATGGATTCCCTTCTTTGAAAGTTTCACTATTTCTATTTATGCTTATCTATTTGGAGCAGATCTTTTTTTATTCCCTTCACTATTGAGTCTCTTGTGTTTTATCGGGTTCTTTACTAAGCGTATCTAAGTCTCTACTCCCATTGTCTCCAACACTAGTTTTATCTGTTTCTAGGTTATTTTCTTGGCTTGTATGTTTATGATCAGTTTTCTGCTGTGTTTCTTGGCCCATCTCATTTTTGTCCTTATGTTGTCTCGCTTCGCCCATGTCTTGGTTTCTTGACTCGTTGGTTTCTTGTTCATCGGAGGTACCTTGTAATTCATCTCGTTCTCGTAAGATCTTCATCACAGAGTCATTCTCCGCATTGTAAACAAATCGTTTGCCGTCACTTACCTCCTGTTCGTAAGACTTTCCCTTCGTAATCTCCGAATGAACTCGTTCGGTCAGTTCTTTATTCATCTTGTTCATAGCATCTGTAGATGAGCGTGCGGATTTTAGCGCTTCAAAACTTCTGTCGAGAATAAGGCATCGATGCGATGGGATTTCCTCAACTTCAAGATCTGGTAGTGGTTCATGTTCTGTAACGAACTCTGATTCCCGTCGCGATTGCCTTCGCGGTTGACTATTGTCGTTCATTTTGAGTGCAATTCACCAACTTTCTGGTTGGAAAAAGTTATTCATCTCTAAAGTGTGTTTTATGATGTCATAGTTTATTGTTTCTGTGACGTCATCGCGCGAGCAGTGTTAGGTGCGCGCAAGGTGGGCTGAAGCATTCCTCAATACATCGTTTTATATTCCTAAATACTTGGTTTTTCATTCATTTTGTTGCCTTTTCATTCATTCATTTTTTCTTTCTTTCTTTTCTTTTCTCGTTTTGATTTGTATTCCATGCAAGTCCTAGCGATTCCTATTCCAAAGCTTGATGCTACTGCCACCTCTATTCTTGGTTCTTTTACCATGAGTATTGATATCCTATTGCTTTTCATTTCAGAAATCTCGAACGGACGTCGGTAACTTTGACACAGACTTCACTCGAGAAGAACCTAGGCTGACACCAATCGATAAAAACGTTATTACAAACATCGACCAGAAGGAATTCAAGGATTTCTCTTATGTTAATTCGCGTTTCGTTTAGTGTAATATAGTATGTCTTGAATTTGACGCCATGCATTTACCCGTCATGCTACGCAATCTTCATGTACAGATATGGTCATGAAAAGCTGTTTAGAACCAAGTAATCTGTATTATTCATATATGGTCACGTGCCATCTAGCTAAAACCACGTGGTCTTCACTGAAGTTAATCTGATTTGCACAGGCCCACGTGATAAAGTTGTGTATTTAAATGTGGTCACGTAAGACTATCAGAATCACGTGGTCATCTTCACGTGATCATATGTGAACTGAACTTCTGTTTCACAGAATAAGCCTTTAAAGCTGCAAGTCAATTGCAAATTGTTACTTTAACTGATTCCCTTTAACAGATTATTTGTTCAGACGACTTGGCCAAACATTAATGATCTAATATCAAGCAATTTTTTTTACGACTAGGATTCGATTTTTTATTTTTATTTTGTAAATGTTGTTTGCTTCTTTCACTCTAGTTCATCTACTATCTAAATGACTTTCGTTAAAACAAATCGGAGATCAAATCTAGATAACAAAGTTGGCCTACCTGTATTTTGCTTTGTATTGAAGAAAGTACTAATTAAATTGGGCTGCCTTTGTTGTGTAATTATCGAGGAAGATTCAACACCAATACAAAGGTAACCCAAAGATTTTCTTAACAAAGCAAAGGACCAACTTTCCGAGAATGAATACAACATGACTGGCGAATATGTTTTCAATCGTATTTGTAAATAATCCACCTTATTATGCTAGAGTAACGAGTATTTTTAGCGTTAATTTAATTTTCGACAAATTTTCAGGCGTTTTTATCTAAGGCAAAGAATGTACAATTCAATAATATTATTTTATCGAGTAATACAATTAATAGTTTAACGTTATTCCTTAGTTTTTAGTTTATCTTTTTTACAGGGACTTTTGAAGGTTTGGGTGGGGAAAAAAAAAATGCACAGGAGAAAATGAACTAAGAGAAGGAATCTCTAGTATTCATGCTTATTCATTTTGTCTTGATTTACTAATAAGTATATACATCTTTGCTCATCTTCCTCTCCTCTGCGACCGCTTGCCAATCAAAGACCTCTGTATACGACCTGATCCGACTCTTCTTTTATTTCAGTTTAAAAACTGACATTCCTACTCGACCTTCGACCTTTCTACTCGACTTTCGTTTCGAAAGACATCTAGGCGACCACTTAACTTTCAGGGGATCAAATTTGAAAGTGTTTCCAGTTGAATGAATGAAGGTAAAATGTGACACTTGGGCATTGTACCTCTAACCCGCATTCCGTTTCCACATTCTACTGCCTGGCATTAGCGACACTGCAATATTCCTCTCAATCCATTGAACGTTCTTTGACGATGGTATCTGTGAGATCAAGTTTAAGGGCGTTGACTCGGAATAGAACTCTTGTATGTGACGTCGAGGCAGCTCAAATTGGAGGACAAAACAACAGAATTTCAATCTCCTGCAAATTGGGAACCTATTGCTATGTTTCCCAAATTGAGCTGCATTCCGACGTATTGTAAGGGGCCTATACCACTCCAAGTCGTGAGAAAGTCCCTGTATATTCAAATGTAGAGTGAGAAAGTTCTGTTCCTGTTACCGAAATATCGCGACTAATTTGAATACTTATTCTGGATTGACTGGCCTCTAACACATGTTAAAACGCTTTTATGTTTCCTCTTGAAACACGAGGCTAGTCAGTCCAGAACAGCAATTATTCGAATTGGTCGTCATATTTCGATTCGGTTTATAAACTAGTGAGGACTGTTATGATTCGGCTATTAAAATATATTAGGTTATTTTGAAGTGATAAAAAAAGCTCTGTATTATTGAGATGTAAATCTAAGTCGTTCAGTTTTGCAAACAGAAAAGTGACATGTTCATGCGTCTTGTTGGGCATTATTGGGGCATTAGTCGACTTAAGACTAATCTTTCTTTTCTCTTGAAGGAATACTTGGGAAAATTAGTGGATGACTTAGGCCATCCTTCTTTTGGGAAATCTCGGGGATTCGTTTTTTGGCTCTTTTCCCTCAGATTTCCAATTTTTTTGTGTGGCTAGCTTCAAACTCATCATTACGTACTGAGCAATGTTTTCCCAACATTCGTGTACTACATATTCCCTTAAGCATGGTTGGTATCTTTGTCTAAAGACTCGGGGGGGGGAGGCTTGCAGATGAAACCCAATTTGAGACACTATATGCTGGAAGTCAAAGGACCTTTTTTGTCGATCATGCACATTGCTTGATGACTCGGCACTTGATAGATGTGCTCAAAGATTTTTCCATTTTAGGTTTTTGACCAGGTGAGGGGATCGGAACTCAATACGAACTCAAAACTGATGCATTGACCAGTGCGGAGGTAGCTACAGTGCACTTGCTGGAAGTAAAGTGCGCCCACCTTACGGTCCGAGTTCAGTCTATCTGGTCTCTCTGATAGCTTGAAATAAAGTCATAATCAAGAGAACAGAAAGGTAGTCAAGAGAGCTTACTGTGAGTTTTTAGTGTCGACTATTTAAAGTTTTGCCAAAATTTTGACCCAGATTTGTATGTTTTCGCCGTGAGAGAAGGCTTTACGATACAAAGTACAAGTCCTGTATATTGGTTGAATGCGATTATTCTGCTGAGAAATGAAAAATGCGACACAAAGATGGGAAGGTAGGGGTGCATATAAAAAATATAAAGTGAATTTTATGTTAGAAACTCCACCATCGGGAATGCACACAACTGCTATACTCAGATACTTAGCCATTAATTTTTCCTGTTCCCTCTAATCAAGCTAAGGAGATGATATTGCATGAAAAAACCTTAGGATCTTTCATCACTGAAACAATTGACGCAAAAAGGTCAGCGGTCAGAAACATGAAGGAAATTTTGGCTTGCGCACTATGACGTCACATCGGCTCTATCCTCTCTGAACTGCATCCAGGACAGAAAGCCACCTTGGCTATATATCAGCCCTCCTTGAGGCACTTACCGCTTTTGCTTAAGTTCAAAACTTGGTACAAAAGTACATTCTCAATCATTGGAATAAATAATAATAATAATAATAATAATAATAATAATAATATATTTATAACGCGCATATTTCATGTGGATATGTTCATATGCGCAGAAATTAGCTATGCCATCCAATTAAAAAAATTGGATAAAAAGAAATATAGATATAACATAATATAGTATAGTATATAATAATATAAATATGTAAAATGAATAAGATATATAGTAAATAGCAATAAAGATGTATAAAATTCTAAGTAAAAGCTAATTTAAAAAGGCCTTAAAATGTCTTAACAAGTGATTTAAATTTCCCGATACACAGTTCATTCCTGATTTCAACAGAAAGAGCGTTCCACAGTTTAGGGGCCGCAGATTGAAAAGCCCCGTCACCTAAAGTTTTTTTACATTTCCCACTAGCTGGATTTAGCAGAGTGCCCTGTTGGAATATCTAACGAAATGTCCCTGGAATGACGTCATTAAAATATTCTAATGAGCCATGCGAATTTTGCTGCAGTATGTCAATTTCCTGCGTCAATAATATGCAAATCAGTTTAGTAGTCAGACACACGAAGGAATATTTCAACTCTCAAATGATGGTTGGAAAAAGACGAATTTTTCTGGAAACTTTACGAAAGTTTCTGAACACAGGTAATGTTAAAGCGTTAGCTGTGTTAATGCAAGTTTTTATCTTTAGCTTTTTAGGATTCATAAGATCATTTTCAAATTAAAAGACCTCCACTGGGACTAAAATTTCAACGTTCCTTAGAAAAAGAATAACGTTTGCTGTGCTTTACATGTTTTAATTATTTTTTTAATATAATATAAGCGGTAAAGCGCTAATACCTATCAAACTGTTTTTACGGAAGCTTCTAAGCCGGTCTAAAACCCTGAGCTCGAGATGGTCCACAACTAACACCTACTGTGGCTAACTTTATTTAACTATAAAAGTTATTTTGTAGTTCATTCAAACCATGAAAACATACGCAAAATCTCAGTTTGGCAATCTGTTGCTGGAGAATACTAAGTAGCGGGTCCAGTGGGGGTTCGATGGGTTAAATGGAACCCCACTTCGTGAAGTCGGTCATATTCTTCACATTCATTAGTGATATTTTGAAGCTGCTCGGCGGCCATTTTGGAGCTTTCACCTTTTCGAATTCCTTCAATGGCTTTCAAACGTTAACTGGAATCAGCTTATTCTTGTTTCAAATTTATTGTTCTGAAGGCTTTGTTATTGTTGTATCTAAAAACAATAGAAGCTAGACTCCCTCAGGACCCTTTGTTTTCGTTTCGGAGGCCAATGAAGCCGAAACAAACAGACGAGTTGCCTTTCTGCAAAGAGGCCAGCCACCTTACTGCAAATAAATATTTAGACTTGCTCAAAGTCGACCTCTGCGATACGATACTCAGGCCGTCGTATCATCTTATGCTGATAATAATATGCTCAAATCAAATCAACTTAGCACCATCACACGAACGTACATTGATTAAAAGCATATTAGGGTAACGGTTCACCAGTCTCTTAGCCGCGTACTCACTAGACGACTAAACTTTCGAATTTATAAGCACCCCCCCCCCCC